AAGAATGTATATGCAATATTTCAAGAGGGCAAATGGTAATACAACGTGTATTCACTTCATTAAATTCACTACAAATTCATAACACTTCTATCAAGATGGTGATCGTGGTTCATCTATTGTTTTATACCCAAAAATTGATTTTAAAATCATGTCCGTAAATCCAAATTTTGCTCTATGTCCAATTACAATAGTTGTTCCTCTCCTATAGCACCAACAAAAATCCAACAACTGGACATCAATTAAAACATAGGCAACTAACCAAAATTCCAAAATAATAATGAGACATACTTCAATGAAATCATGCTCTGACAAGAAATTGTCAGGATCTGATCGTCGATTTTTTTCTTCTTCTGTTCCTTACTTATTCCTTCAACTTTCTCTGTGCTTCCATGGACTTCACTCCGTTCATCATCGTTTGTTGCCTAAATGAGAAGTGCTGTTTAAACGTCCATTTGTAGAGGTGTTTTAATATTCATGTTTTAAAATATGGAAAAAAAAAACCTGCATAAAATATTGAAAATCTATGGTACAGCTGCTTCGAAAAGAAGACACAAAAACGTGCTCCAAATTACTAATTGTCTTGCACCAATTTCACGGATGTTTTTCAAGATGGTTTCACTCTGTAGTGAAAAATGGTCGAAAATTTTCGATTCAGTTATACTTTTTCTAACTCATATTTACCATCTGCGGTCGTTTATTATTTTAATAATGAATAAGAACAGGTCAACAAAAAGAAACTTAAGAGAAGTTCCTGGTAGCAACAAAAAGAACCTATCCTAGTTGCACAGCCTTCTTTCCTTTATCAATGCCTTTCAGAAACTCGTGAGCAGTGCTCACTTCAGCGGCAACAACTATGTTCGATTCCATTAAGGGATCTTGTTTGATCCCTAAATGTGGTCATCAAATTCTTGTGCATTAAAAATTCAAAGATTTCATATTGTTAGTCACTTTAAAAATCAAAGACAACCTTAAAAAGAAAATTTTTCCTTTTGCTAATCCAATTTTGACCATAATCCAATGAATCGCAACGAAAAGCTGGTCTGGGAAGCGGAATATTTAATAAAAACCACTTTTCCTAACTGAATTCATTTTTTGACAACTCTCTAGATTATAAAATCTACTTATCGTTCTTCAAAAGAACGACAAAAAGCCTCCTGGGACAGCGCTTTGGTGGCTTCCACAAAATAAGTCGAAATAGGCGACCACATTCGTGTCATACATGACAGCAGAGGACGTCAAGCGTGGTATATGCAAGATTATTGGTCGTACGTCACGTAAGTGAGAAAATTTCAAGTCAAATTAGACGGTGAGGATTCATGTTAAAATAACAGATAGTGTGGAAACTTTTAGCAAGATTTAGATCTAAAAAAAACTTAGCGAGTCTCGGTAGTCATTCCAAAGGCAATGTTTCTTGTTTCCGAATATCAGTGATATTTAAAATATAGAAGGAAAAAGATACGTGGATTATGGAATATTTAAAATTTACAGTCAAATTGGAAATCTGGAACTGACAACAGGATAGCCAACAAAAATATAATAACACATCAACAGAGCCCTTGAGAAATGGTGTGGTACGATACGCGAATGTATTATCAGTGAGATGAAGAAAGAAGCTAGAAGAATTTTGAAATAAATTCAGAAATAACCCATATTCTACCAATGCAGTAAAGAGATTTATCTTACGGAATCTTTTACGAAATTACAATCCTTACGTTTAATAAATGGAAAAAAAGTAGCGCCTTTTACTAACTTGTTTATAAAAACCGTCAAAAAGCGCAAATTCAGAAATTTTATAAATAGATTAATAATACAGTCCAGAAAACTATTTAGATACTCTTTACGTTAAAAAGAGTGGGAAGGAAGGAAAAAATAATGCTTGATCTAAACATTTTTCAAATTAAATATACCGAGAAACTGATGACGTGTGTTTGGACAATGAAGAATGGATTTACTGACAGCCTAAGCCGTAAGCAGATTGAAAGATGAATTTTGATTATTAGTCGTGGTAATCCTGGTGAAACCCAGGAAAAGAAATAACCCACGACAGTTACAATCACAGCAAAAAGAAACATAACAATTGTGAATGTGACTACTGACTAAACTTATAAACAAAAAAAATTGGAGTACTTTGGATAATGAATGAAGTACTGTTGGAACAACTGATTCTTGTGACTCAGTCATCTGGACCGGAACCGAAATCTGCATTTCGTCATCCTTTGCTTTCTTAAAGATTTCTTCGATCTGTTCCTTTTTTTCTGACGGTTCCTTGTCAGTTTTGTTTACATCAACAGTTTGCTAAAAGTTCATGATAATTACACAACTGGATGCAACAGAATAAGGTATTATTAAAAGTCCCTTTCCTATGACATTAAATGACAAATACCAGTGAAGAGTATATTCGATACGCAATGTTCCTTTTTTTTGATGAGATGTATAGTTCTCATGCCGTCTTCTACTGCACGCGAAAAATATTCTCAATAAACTTTTCCTCTTCCCATCCACTATTTTCATTCAATTTTCAGATTTTCACAGAACTATATCGAGCGCAACAATTAGGAGTATAAAGGTATTTTGTTTAGCTCACGACAATACTTAAAACAACGAAAAAACTTTGTAATCCTCGTTCGACAGACTCGTTTATTTTGTACCAGAAGTGATATTCTAAACTAACGTTAACTTGCTCATCAAAGATTTCTTTCTCATGAAAAATGGAAAAGAATATCAAGAAATATCCTGGAGAACGATACCACTCCGAAATACCGAACTTTCCTTTCTCTACATCTATAAACATTCCGTATAATGAAACAGATAGGTTAAGAGGGTTTCTTGTCCTTAAGTAATATGAAAGGTTGAATACTACCTTTTTTGACTGCATCAATTTTTTTGTTCAAGCTTCAGTGGAGATGACAATTGGCTTATTTTCTGTTCTTCGGTTGATACCGGTCTCTCTTCCTCCAGATGCTGGTGCCTTGGTTTTGACTCATTTTGCAACTTCGAAACCTTCATCGTCTTTGTATTTACTTTTTTTGCAACTATGTCTTGCTTTGCTATATTTACCGTACGCTGGGCTCGTTCATTCTAAGAAAGAATTTGAAAATATTCATTAATAAAAAAACAAGCAGACTGCTTTTACGAACATCGCGAGAACAGTTACCAAGCGCTTTGATAATTTAAAAAATACCATTAAATGCTTTGCTTTCGCTGTTTCTTTTATCGTCGAATTTTTAGCCTTAGTCGTTTTTGCGGCAGTTTTCTGCTCAGCTGATACCTTTTTCGGTGAATTATTGCTAGATACTTTCAGCTTCTGAAAAAAATTGGAGATACAATGAGATAATAGAATACACTGCGTAATCAACTCCAGTTAAGCTTGTAAAACCCGGTTTTTTTGCAGTTGGTATTTGAAGTCACACAAATGAATCTCCTTAGCTTGTAAATGTTAAGCAATTCTTATCGCTACTAAATTAAAATATAGTTACATCAATCAATATTCTCTATATTGGTGTATTGTCGGATTATATATTATAAAAAGTAAAAGAATAATGTCCATAATATGACCGGTAAGCAAAAGTTCCATTTTACCTTGAAGGAGCAGAATTTTTAAAGGTAGGGCAATGTCTAGTCAAGCATATCTACTAGAAGAGGAAGTAAAAGAAGTTCGTGAAATAACAAAAATAATCCATCTTATTGCAGCTGTGAAATTGCTTTCAAAGAAGTGTTAGGAAATGATCGTACACAATCTAAAGATTCAACCAGGTGGAAAAATGTAGAAATGGCATCATGCATACTTCCTTATCCAACTAAATATTTTAAGTGTTTAGTACAGAGGTGAATAAGATGAGACTTCTCAATTTCATCTTCAACACTGAAAGCTTATGAAAAATGACGAAAAATATGCTCCTAAAAAGAAATTTTGAAATATAATAAACTGAAAACAAAATCAAACAGCCATTCGATATATGAACAAAAGTAATGTGCGCGTCGGACTTCAAAACTTAACAAACCTTGAAGTAAATTCTCCGAGAATGCTTACCTTTCCTCAAAAAACAAACTATACGCTAAATTAGCGAATTGAAAGCGCCTTACAATGCAGCTGACTAGTCGTATAAGCGCAAAAAAAAAGCTAATATTAATGCCAGGGACAAATAAAAAGTGGAAATATCGAACGTAGTTTTTTGCACATAAGTGGCATGGTGATGTCAGGCAAAAGATATGCAAGGATAGCAACTTTGGATAAAATTTTAATAAATGTAAGGTTTTAGGTGCAGTAAAACAAATACAAGTCGGCATAATGTCGAAGTAAATGAGTGTATAAAGACCGAAAATAAACATATTCCAATGAAAAATGTTGTTAACCGACAAGGGATCCACGAACAACCAGTGTTATATTAGTAAAATAGAATAGCTAATGGATTTCTTGAACTTGGTAATAACTTAACTATAACTACTGTGAATTAAAATAATTCAACCTCCATTACATTGCATGAATATTTCTCTCATCATACTTTCAAACTAAAGATAAAACGTATGGTAAACATAAAGCATGGACTACAAAATCCTCTACTAATAATTCAGCAATTTCTAAAACGACCATATAAAACAGCGTGATTCACAAACGTAACATTCATTTCCAGTACCTCACAAGAATTCTCTTTGCCGGGTTTTCACTTTCGATTACTCGGAAAAACAGTATCACTTGACACTTCTAATCATTATCTCTTCAATTCGAATAACCATTTCCCAAACACTAAGCTATACAAAAATATATCCAATGCTCACTATACCGTGGTGCGCACTCTTTAGAAAAAAACATAAAGGGTAAACCTCACTTTTTCCTTTCTAATTTCTGGAAGTGTTGAAGTTGACGCTCTCTGTTTCGCTAATTTCTTCTCCAGACGTCTTTGCTCCCGCAAACGCTGTCTTTCTGCCAGTTTCTCCGGAGATCGCTGCAATCCGGCAAATGTACAACAGTGTTAAGATGAACACCACCTGATATTGTACTATGAGTGTCACATTTTCAAGGATGGAGAGAAAAATACGCAAAAAAACAAGAAAATTCTCGAACATCTTGAAATGTTGAATGAAACTTATCGTGAACCATATCATTATTGATAAAAGGGTAATATCGACACTGTTGGTAATGTATAGTGTTGCATGTTTTAAACAGGGTATAGAGGAGAATTAAGCGCCTTAAGTGTTTAGAAAGTTAAGTACCTGTTTCGGCTCCTTGATTCTTCGATGTGTTGGTAGTGGTGGAGCAAGTGTATTACTGCAAATACTAGTACTACAAATTACTCAATAAATTCTATTTCGTATAATTTTCGAAACATGGACAAAGAAAGAATTTATGTAATCTGGGGGAAAATAATAGGCATGGGCTGAACCGTTCAAAAAATACATCTTGCAACGAGGATAACAAAAGCTGCAGTAGACATTTCTGCCATCGTTTCTTTAAAATACTACTATCCCAGAGAAAATGATCAAAAGATGCTTCGATCTTCTTCAGGAAACAAGTCCTGTTCTTAATTGTTTCATAATCAAAAATTACTATGAATAAACATAAATATTATAGCTCCAATACCAGTTTCTTTTCCTAGAAATCACGAATATATCGAGCCAAGTGTGCTCAACTGTGTTGAAGAAAACTCACCTACACGAAATTATATGCAAAAATAAGAAAAATACTACCTGGAATGTTGATGTCCGGTCAGAATTGCATTGTTCTGCCTGAAATAAGAGCATGAAATGCTTTACTCTGAGCTGTTAAAATGGCTTTGCAGCCAACTAAAGTTGGCTTTGCAGCATTTTGCGAATCTAATATTAATTCCATCTTACTAATTACACAGACTTGTACAGTGCCGGAAAACTTAATTCCAGATTTAAAATCTGGAAACACAAAAATCCCGCAAAAACGGGATTTTATTTTTAGACTCGACAAAATATTCATTTTTTATATTATAACCAACCATGCTTTTCTAGCTTCCAGACGTCTCCGATATGTCTTCCATTTTCCGGCAGCGGCATTTTTCAGTGAGCGCACCTTCCCAACATGGCGTACTTGTTTCTGGGAACGCATTGCTGAGCTTGTTGAAATTTGTTACTAACTACTCCTTTTATTCAGCGCCGCAATCGTTCTCTAATATTTTCATTTGCTTTAATGGTTGGAATACTTTGCAAGCGTCTTGTCTTACTATAATGACTAAGCCGTCGCCGATGTTAGTGTCGCGTATGCACGTTCCTAATGTTCGACTAATGATCTTATGTTTGGGGATGGTTTTCTATCTCAGTGGTCCTAACTCGAAGACCCAAACAAGTTAAAGCAGCAGCACCGAGGATTTTGGAATTTTTGACAAATACGCACAATCACATTTAGGAAGTCGAACATCTTCTACATATTCTTTTCCTTTCCTCTTTATGCACGAAGAATGAGAAGCACAACTCATCCTTGGTCTACGCCGTTGAAGCCTGAATGGAGGTTAGGGTGATCGCAAAGCAACGAATGCATTCAAAATACAGTGGATAACAATATCAGTACAAAGAATGGCTGTCGTCCAAGCACCCAGAAATTTATTCTCATCAAGCAAATAAAAGTCTAATAGAAAATTTTAAAAAAACCAGTAGGATTCACATTACTGTAATGCATTTTACGGACAATAGGGAGAGATAAAAAATCTTATGTTTGATGAATCTATTCATAGTATCATTAGTGCTCAGCAGAGATGTAGGAAACGTAAAATTCAATGATGTGATCGAAGAATGAAACATAATTCAATAGTACTGCACTTTAAAAAGACTTCATATAACAGTGAGTCAAAAAGAATCATTCTGTGATGACAATTTTTTTTACAATATTATGTGATTAAAGAAAGTGATGAATGGTTACAGCAGTAAGAAAAAGATCCAGTGAATATACGTGTCCATAGAAGACCTTTTAAAATTACAAAGCAAAATTCTATCCATGTATTCGCTGTTAGCAGTACAGTCGCCAGTTTATCATGATAAACGGACGGCAAACAAAATAGAGTACTTGATGGACATATATTATGTCAAAAGAGGAACAAAAATATCCAGGAAATGCTGATTTTTCAATGAAAATATGCATTAGTTAGTGCATAAAGAATGAGGACCAAAAGTAAACAGACAAGGATCACTTGACATTCTTTAGAGGATATGATTCCTAAAATAAACATCGGATTCTAATTCCGAAAAAGATTCCTACAGAAAATACACCTTATTGCTACTACAGCTGAATAGGACTCATGAAAACATCCACCCTTCCTAATTTCTTTTTTTTTCTACGCAGCCCAAAATTTTGTTGCATTTTAAATTTGATTTCTCAATTTCTTCTCCTGCCAGCTCTCTTTTAAACTACATTCATCCTACTTCGATGGAAGCCAACAATTCCACAAGCAAATTGGTACATTAAAAATATGCTTCACAACATTACCTTGTTTCCACTTATCACTTTATACACTCATCTATAGGCAGAGAAACTGAAATACTTCCATCTTAATGTAATTTAGTTTTACATACTTGAAAACTATATCATTTTAATGGCTACCACGATATGTCTCTACAAAATATATTATATATACGATATCTACAATGGCGGCGCTGCATGACTGCCACCACAGAAAACACAGTACAAATTTGTCCCTCTTAAATGAAAATGTTTCAATCTGTGTAAACAGGTTTTACCCTTCAACTCCATTTATACTTTCAATTGTTTCAAGAGCATCAAGAAAATGGGAAATTGCGAAATGAACGTATAGCACGTATCATTTTGACATTAAATTACTTCCCAGCAAAAATGAACTCAAAATTTAGAAATTATATATATATAAACAATTTAAACAATAAAGAAACAAGGAAAGAAAAGGTAAAACACTCGACCTCTCCAACCATTGTACAGTACGAAGTGTTTCATATGTTGCACAGCTCTTTCTATAAGCTAAGCAGCTCTGATTTTATTCGAATAAATTTCTGCAAGAAGTCAGAGAGGACATGAAAAGAGTGATGTTAAAACATGAAAATACATCTCTTCAGGCTAGAGCGAAAGCAGAAAGCTGAATTCAAGAGGGAGCTATTGCAACAGTGAGGCTACAACACTTGACTACTACAAAAACTGAGTTCCAGCACAACAATATCTGATTTAGATTTCCTACCGTTCCCATTTGAAATACCGAATTTCACTGGATCAGTAAAGTAGTAAAGGCCAATCTTGAGAACATTTGAGAAAATAATGAATCTCCAAGTGATAGTTTCTGGCAGAATGGTTGGTTAGACGAATCATTATTATCAATATTTAACGAAAGTGCGAACTTCCCTTCCGTTACCATCCAGTAAATTTTTCTACTACCCATTTTTTTTTGGCCAAATGCATTCTCCAGTAGCTCTACCCTGGAGCATTCGTTAAAAATGTGTCACAATAGACGGCTTCCAAAAAAGAGATCTGGTTGACTTGCTTCCTTTATTGTTATGGAAATGCATATATACTGTTAAGAGGTTAGCACTGGGTAAATATCATGATAAGAGATGCGTGAAGTCGAAATCAACACAATGCTGGAAGAAGTGGAGGATCATATACATAGAGACATTTCAATTCACTCAACAACGCTTCCCTAGCGCCATCCATCGGCCATAAATGTAAATAACGGAGATTGAAATAAAAATGACCAAATGAAAATGATTCACTGCTTGCTACAGTTCAGGATGGCAACCAATCAAAAATTGCAATATTTTGGCTTGTTCAAGTTGGAAAAGGAGCAAAATCATTTCTTGACCACAATATATTTCGGAAATATGATTATACTAAATGAACAGGAATAGAAGTTCAATTTCTTCCGAGTTCTAATCTTATAGCAGCACCTGCTTCCAACACACACACAGACATATATATATATATATATATATATACTACTTTAGTAGTGCATGTTCTCTGCATGCTATGTATATTATATATATATATATATNTAATAATATATATATA